GTTAGGGTGCCCCTGTCTTATGGTTTTGGCACACAGAAAACTCCAGCCCCTAAAGATTTCCTAGTCCTAAATTATTATTATTATTATTTATTTTTGAAAGATAACCGGTAAGGGGATCTTAACTTGGTGTTGTCAGCACCATGCTCACCCATTGAGCTAACCGGCCATCCGTATATGGGATCCGAACCTGTGGCCTTGGTGTTATCAGCACCACACTCTTCCTGAGTGAGCCACGGGCCGGCCGTAGTCCTAAATTATTTAGAGAATGGTGTCAACACTTTGCTTTGGAGACTGAATTTGCATTACATGGGTATTAAAGCAATGTCAGCTGAGGATGGGGGAATGTGGATTGGCACAAACCTTTGGGGACACATTTTGGTTCTAACATTTAAAATGTTCATACCTTTTTGATCTGGCATTCCAAACTTTTACGACTTATTGTATAGAAACACTTCAGTATGCAAAGTTATGAAAGAATCATTGAAGAATCACAGGAAATTAGAAACTATTGGGCTGACCATCAATAGACAAATGCTTAACCTAAAGCTATAGTTTACCCATACAATGGAAGACATGCCACCATCACAAAGGAGAGGGATCTGTAAGTATTGACATAAGTGTCTCCAAGATATATGAGTAAGCAAAAAATATATACCATTATTTATGGTAATAAAATGTTAATAAATACAAATCAGCCATTATGCTCCAGTTTGTCAGTGGTAATCTTGGGGTAGGGTGGAGATGCAAATTTTTCTTTCTTTGGAAATAGAGTTTCTATTTGGCCACAGCAAAACACTGGTTAAAAGCACTGGCTGTGGTGCCAGACTGCCTGGTTCCAAATACTGGTTTGGCTATTTCTTTCTAACTATGTAATCTGGGGCAAGTAATTAGCCTCTCCTGTGTCTCAGTTTTCCCATCTGTAAAAGAGGGATAATAATACCACTTATCCCATAGGCCCCGTGTGAGGACTAAGTGGATTGATATGTGCCAAGTGCACATATTTACATACCCCAACACTCACACTCTCTCTCACACACACACACACACACACACACACACACACACACACACACACACACGGCCAGGGTGTCGGTACCTGAGGGCTGTGCCACTCCTCACCCTTGCAGGGAGGGCACAGGGCCAGCACACAGCACAGGGAGGCGGTAGGTAGCTCTCAGTATGTGTCAGTGGAGCTCAAATGTCATCTTTGTGGGACCCACATGCTGGGGTTCATGTGTACGTATCACCTCCCAAGTTTGCATCTCAAACTGTACTCTACTTGAAAGGCTTCTGCTACTGTACTCATTTGGTGGGGAGAGAAGCTCTACAGTATTCAGTAGATATAGATGTTCAGAATGTTTCATGGAGAGTCATCCAATGTAGTAAACAGGGTCCTGGGCTGGAGCTCAGGAGATCTAGGGCGAACTCCCACCAAAGGGGGAAAGGGTCACCTGGGGGAGGGAGACAAAAACTGAGGCCTCCTGGTAGCATGGAGCTCCTGAGTCACTGTGAAGAGGGACAACAGGTAGACTTCTCAGATGGTAAGTGGGCGAAGCTGATGGTGAGGGTCTGCGTTCCCTCTTCACCTGCCAGCATGCGGGGGCACTGAGCACAGCCCTGAGCCCCGCCAGCAGGGAAGCAGCAGCAGAGGTATTGTGAGAAGCAAAACACGTTCCCAACCCCCAAGCGGCGGTTCAGCTCCAAGCAGATGCTGCATGGAAGTCAGAGGTGCTGTGGACTGCAGTGAGGCTGCTGCATGTGACTGCAGCATGTCTGTGGCTGCAGGACTTGCTGGAGGACACAGCTTGGCCCTCAGAGGTCACAGCTGCTGCTGTTGGGGGGCAGGGGCAGAGCAAGAAGACCCCCATGGTCAGGGGAGAGTGGCTACCTCAGCCCACCCTGGAACTTGGCTCCCTTGTCTGACTCTCTCTCCTTGCCACGGAAATTCCAGCTGGGATTTTGGATTTCTACACAAAGACTGCAGACGCCTACCTGGTTTTGTACAGGTCAGATGAATCATCACCCAACTGTATTCTTATCAATTGAACAACTTTCGGATGTCGCAGCTGTCCCTTCAATGTGGCAAACTTCTGGCGAGAGTCAGGCAGGTGGCAGGCAGTGCTTCATTCAGTCACCCTCTTAGACAAAGGGACAGAGCAGGTGGGTGGACCGAGGGCAGATCAACACATTTGCTTTCCTCTCTCTTTTTGGGCCAGCGAGGAGAAACTGCTGCTGCCTGAGAAGAGGAGCTGTGACAACACGGCAAGGGAAGCCAGGCTGGGGGGTGGTGAAAAGGGATGGGGTTTGCTCCTCTCTTTTGATTGAGGGGGATAAAGGGGCTGGGTGTGGTGAGATGTAGTTACTATTTTACAGCATTTTTCATCTTGGCCTCAAAGCACTTTTCAAAAACAAGCTGAAGGGGCTTCAGGTGAAAATAGGTCTGTGGCTGCCCCCTTGCTCAGAGCAGCCCCCAGGACTACATGTGGTCACCCCTCACCCCCCCCCACTTTCTTCTTGCTCACTCGGCTCCAGCCACTCCCCCCGCAACCCCCAAGCCTGCCAGACATGACCCCACTTATGGGCCGCTGCGTTCGCGATTCCCTCTACCTGGAACACTTCTTCCCCAGATGTCTTCTTGGTTGTTCCTTCGCCTTCTTCTAGTTTTTACTAACTCTGGACAATTGATCTCTCAACTTACAGCTCCCACCCCTACATGCTCCTCATCTCCCTTCCTGACTTTATTATTTCTATAACATTTATCACCACTTGACCTTCTATTTTATTTATCTTATTTATTATCTGTCTCCCTCCAATATAAGTCTTCCCAAGGGTGAGGTGGCATCTAGCACATAGTAGGTGCTCAATAAATTACTGTCATTGTCTGTGATTTGCTTTCCTAACCCCCAGTCCCAGGCACGCCAGCTCTTATACTTGGATGGGTGGGTAGAGCCAGGGAAGTAAAGGAACAAGGAGGGAGGCAAACAAATGAAGCAAAGGACAAGGAGGAGGTGTTGGGAAACATGGAAAATCATGAGTGTGGAGGGATGATAAGGAGCAAAGTGAACGTTAAGAGATTTCTGATTAAATAACAGAGGACTAGTAGAAGGGCAAGTTTGTGCCAAGAAGGAAGAAAAACAAAGCAGAGGAGGGAAACTCTCTGTAATGTTCAGGAAGTCTAACCTAACAAGCTGTCGAGCTTGGGCAGAAGCCTGGAGTCTGGCTGCAGCCACTGCCTAGGACCCCCGCATGTCTCTTGCTGCAGTGCCATCCCCTGTGGGCCCAGGGGGCTGTGAACAGCGGGCGTGGGAAGAGTAGGAAGAGACCAGAAGGGAAAGAAAGGAGGAGGGATGGGGCAAAGCAAAAGACCAAGTGGGTGCTACAGGGGAGTCCATGTGACAAGCCGTTGGGCAATGGAGGGTGTTGAAGGTGAGGGGCCAGGAGAACCTCAGTGGGGGAGGTGGAGAGAGGAGACTGGAAGAGACAGCAGGAAGAAGGTGGCCTCTGAGGGAGAAGCGAAGGGTGGAGGCAGGAGGCAAGACATGCCTCACAGGCCCCGTGCAGAGAGAGACATGGCACTTTTGTTCCTGCCATGTGCCTTGGCCCCTGGTGTTCTGTGCTTTTTTGTTTGTTAAGTTTTGTGCTTTTATTGTCCTAATGTTTTCATGCTCTTTCCCAAGGACTTCTCTCATATGTGTACATATATATAAGTTTGGAAGAATTATTTAATAATCTGGAAAACGTTAATAATTTGGTCATGTTTTAGAAGGGTTACATTAAGATAGCTTTCCCTTGAATTTAGTAACAAAGTCAGAAAGAAAAAGTCACTCTCTGAAATTGAATTCATCAAAATCAATGAAGAACTGATGCTTTTAGCCACTTCTCAAATAGAGGTAATTTTTCAAATTAAGAGGTTGTTTATAAGTGGAGGTGAAAGAACTAGGATGCTTCATGAGGCATTTGAGGTTTTTAGACTAGAGTTTCTCAGTCTAATCAAGGTGATCAATTAGGATACATCCTCAGAACTGAAATGCATTTAATGCAAAGCTGTAAGTTAAATCAATTGTGCAACATATTCAATCTGATTATGTGGAGTGGGTTATGTGGAGTCTAGCTAATGGAAGGCCACGAAACAAGCATTTTTAGTGTATATCCAGCTGGCCCAAAGGAGATTCTTCCCTGACTTGAAAGCCCCAATCCTGATTTTCTTGACATCCTTGATTTGGAGAACAGAAATTAATCCAGCTATACTAGCTGAATACAAATATTCCTTAAAAAACATCTAACTTTCTGTATCATAATTCTTTGTTCACTAAGCTAACTTGTAATCCGTAACTGTCTGTAAATTGACCTCTTTAAAGGGATGCCCACCACAAAACGTGTCTGTAATCTGGCTAAAGAGAAATATTCTGTTGTTAACTGGCAAATGAGCATGTTTGTAGATAGATCCTTCAGTCATTTGAGTTTTCAGAAATTGTGTTTTGGTTCTCCTGGGTCTGGTCATTCCAGGGAGCAGGGATGAAATCCTGTAATAAAATTCTGTACCTAGCCTAGCAAAGCTGAGGACTGATCAGGGAGCTGTAGGTTAGCCTTGTCAAGGTGTTGACAAGAGGGAAGGCTTATCTGAAGCAGCCAGTCAGTTTCTCCTTTTTATCATCTCCTTTGGCTGCCTTCAAAATGCAGTGGCTAAAATAAATAAATAAAGAGGAGACCACAGTGCAACATCTGCAATTATTTCAATAAAGCTGGCATCAGGCCACTAATATGCAACACACTTTCCAGCCTGCATTTAGAGTTAATCCACGGTCTAAACATCCATCTTTCTAAAGGAGCAGAACAAATGCAGGATAGAGTGAAAAAAGAAAATGGACCAGGAGGATGAACATGGTGCTTACCCTTCTCTGGAAGATTCAACCAACTTGATTCTCTGTTCTGGGGATCAGAGCCTCTTCAACTCCACAGCTTTCCATCTCAGTACCAGAGGACCAGATTCAGACCTGTTGTTCTTTCCAGCCAACACAATTTTATTCCACTTTACATGTTTTGATAACTATTTCATTCCCCTCCCCACCTCCAACTGCATCTTGTACTCTGAAATGCCTCTTTAGCCAGCGAGGATGACCAGTTCTGCCTGCTGCTCATTATCACAAGAATGATCTCACCACAAATGAAAATCAAGATATGTGACATATGGGTGGCCAGCCTCCTCTCAAGTAGCAAGAGAATGGTCAAATAATCAGATTCTATCAGTCATGTTAAAAATAGGGCTGGCCAGTTAGATCAGTTGGTTAGAGTGCGATGCTGTAACACCAAGGTGAAGGGTATGGATCCACATACTGGTCAGCCACCAAAACAACAAAAACAACTAAAATATATACATCCAGTGGGTGGACATCCTTCTCTATATGCTACAGGACAGTGAAGAATGTCCCGATTTGTCAGATTTGTAATTGTTTCTTTTAACTGCACATGCTTTGGACTGGATGCAGGATGGCTAAATAGATATTTCAGGAAAGTCAGCCTGAAGACCCAAGTGACCAGTATCATAAAGCCACCTCCAGGGTTGGCCATAGTGTGAGCACCAAAGAGACAGCAGGGAGACCTGCTGGAAGGCCTGGGCATCGCTCTGACTGCTTGGTCCCCGTCTGCCTCCTCCACATCTTCTGAATCAAATCTATGGCAGGACCACAATCTTCTTCTCCAGCTTCTGTGGTGGGAACAGGAAGTTTCTCATGATCTCATCCAGCTCTTCCAGGGCCAGCTGTGCATGGAGCTTGGCCACGTCATCGGGCTCCAAACGCACCACGTGCTTCAGCAGGTGGTAGAGATCCTTGAGGACATCCCTCAGCACCTATAGGAGAGAGACAGAGTCATGACCACCTGTCTACTGTGCCAACATTTTGCATTACAACAGAACTGCCCTCTCCTCCTATCTGAGGATTTCTGTGAGGAAACCCATAGGCTCCCTTAAGATGAGAATGCATGGGGCTGGCTGGTTAGCTCAGTTGGTTACAGTGTGGTGCTGATAACACCAAGGTCCAGGTTCAATCCCTGTACTGGCCAGCTGCCAAAAACAGAGAAAAATTTTAAAAAAAGAATGCATGGTGCCCTTAGGTTGGGGAAGGAGGGAAGGGTGGCTGCAGCACCTGCACTGAGATAGGTTTCTTTTTGTGTTTCTTACTCACCCCTGACCCCGCATTACATGCCTTCGGTGATGCTGCTCCCTCTTTACTCCCAGGCCTAAGTACAGATCCCAGCCCCCTTCCTTCAGTCTCGATGCATGGCACAGACCTCAGAACCACAGGCAGGCAACACTGCCCAGATAGGGCTGCTCCCAGGGCAGCTGATTGCCAGCATTTCCTCTCTAGATCCCCACAAAGCCCTCTGTTGACACCCACAGAACAGCCATCTGTCTGCAGGAGGCTATTTCTTCAGCAATCATGCCTTTCCTTGCCCTGCTTTTAGAATTTGCCACTACAGTTCCATTCCCATGCCCTTCCCCCACTCACTAGAATTTTTTTTCAATTGCAAGTCTGCACTGGGAAACAAGAGAGAAGTCTGTAGCCAGACCCACACCCATTTTTCATGACCAATGCTCTGATCCTATGGCTTGGTATGGAATTAGGAGGGTGCCAAAAACACCTAATCCCCTACAAAATCCTTCTGGTTTGGGAACTAGAATTTCTAGCAAGAAACAGGAAAACTCAGAGTAAGGGGACTTAAGGACCATCTGGTCAAACTAGGGACAGAAGACAATTGGGCCAGAGAGGGGTTGTGTGACTTTGTTTGCAGCTACTTATGAAGTTACTACTGGTCTAGGGCTTTTTGCCTCAAAAACTACTATTTTGGGGGTCAGGTACTTTTCATATATTATCTAATTTTTATGCCAGTCATAAAAAAGTAATGTAAAGGAAGGTTATTAACTCCATTTTACAGATAAGGAAACAGGATTAGAGGGTTAAGTTTACTCAGCTAAAAAAATGGTGCAGCCAGGTTTCCAACATCCAGAGGCTGTGTTCTTATTTTTTATTTTTACTGAGACGATAATACAGTACGAAAAAGCACACATTAAAAACTAAAGCTCTCTTAAACCAGACTTGTGGTTTCCCTTATCAGAGGACACCATTCCTAATTGTGAGAAATATTGTAGGTGTTTACAAGCATATATATGTATATGTTTCTTTTCCCTTCCCTTTTTAAAGCACAAAATTATATTCTACACTCTGTTGTGTGCCATAATGTTTCCCCCCCACATAACATATTTTGGAGCTCTTTTGTATCACTGGCACATATCCGATACCAAAGTCTTTACAGAGATGTACAAGTATATCTGTAGGAGAAATACCTAGAAATGGAATTTCTGGGTCAAAGGGTAATGCATATTTAAAATTCTGATGGATATGGCCAGAGAGTTTGCAATAATTTACATTTTTATCTAACACTATAAAAATTCTTATTTCCCCATATTCTCAGTGCCACGTATTATAAACTATCTTAGCTAATCTAGTAAGTGAAAATTAGCATCCTGTTGTTTTTAATTTACATTCTTCTAATAAATGTATAAACTATTTGTATTTTTTTCTGATATGTGTATTTAAACTTTTCCTTACTGATTTGTAAGTTCTTTGTATATGAAAAAATGTCCATTATCTAAAACATATGAGTCGCAAATATTTTTTTCCCAGTTGGCACTTTTTCTTTGTAAATTTTTTTTCCAGTAAAGAAATTTACATTTTTGATGTAGTTAAATTTGTCAGTTTTTTTCCTTTATAGTTTCTGGGATTTGCATCTTTTTTTTTTTTTTTTTTTTTTTAAAGATGACCGGTAAGGGGATCTTAACCCTTGACTTGGTGTCGTCAGCACCACGCTCTCCCAAGTGAGCGAACCGGCCATCCCTATATAGGGCTCCGAACCCGGGGCCTTGATGCTATCAGCACCGCACTCTCCCAAGTGAGCCCTGGGCTGGCCCTGGGGTTTGTATCTTGCTTAGAAGAAATAGGGCCTACAATCTTAGCCATTATGCTATGCAGTGTTCTTTCTATTTATTAATAATGCTACCTATATGGATCAAGTTGGGTTTATTTCACTACATACAAGCATCTCTGACAATAATTGGTTCAATGGGCTTTAAAAATTTAGCTCCCACTAGTTTGGAACCTCAAGACTTGGCTGAATATTAAAGGCCATGCCAATGTAAAATTTCAAAAAAGGAGGAATATCAGAAAAACAAAATAGGAGAATGTACACATTCATCTATCATTTTATATAAAAGCTATGTAATTATTACGTATGTATATATATAATATAGTATATAACAAATACTATAAACATGGACTAGCTCAGCAAAAACACATTAAAAAACATCCATTGGGTAGGCATCCTTCTCTAAATGTTACAGGACAGTGAAAAATGTGCCGATTAATCATATTTGTAATTGTTTCTTTTTAACTGCATACACTTCAGACTGGATGCAGGATGCCTACAGAGAGGGAAACTGGAGAGGCAGAGGGGGTGTGGAATTATATACCCTATTGTACCTTCTAAATATTGTATTTGATGAGTGTATTACGTATGGAAAAATAAATAAGTTTACATTAAACTGAATTAACTACTAGGCAAAGATTCTCATAAAGCCATTTAACAGATAAAACAGATCTACAACCTGCCCTTAAAAGGCTTACAGTCTGGCGGGGAAGATAAGAAGGCATGCACATAAAGAAAGACAGACAATATGATGCTTCTTGACTTATGATGGAGTTAGAACCTGATAAACCCATAGTAAGTCAAAAATGTTATAAATTGAAAATGCACTTAATACACCTAACCTACAGAACATCACAGCTTAGCCTAGCCCACCTTAAATGTGCACGTACATTATCCTACAACTGGGCAAAATCATCTAGCACAAAGCCTATTTTTTAATAAAACATTGAATATCAGGCCGGCCCGGTGGCACACTGCTACAGTGCGCCGCTTGAGAGCATGGTGGCGCTCCCGCCGAGGGTTCAGATCCCACATACAGACCGGCCGCTCACTGGCTGAGCGAGGTGCGGGCGCAACACCAAGGGTTGCAATCCCATTGCCGATCACGAAAAAAGACAAAAAAAGGAAAAAAAAAACATTGAATATCTCATGTAATTTACTGGATGCTGTACTGAAAGTAAAAAACAGAATGGTTTTTTGAGTACTCGAAGTACAGTTTCTACTGAATGTGTAGGGCTTTCACACCATCGTAAGTCAGGGACCATCTGTACAGAATAGAACGTGGTAAGGGTCCTAAAAGAGCAGTGTGATGGAGGTCAGAAGAAAGAGAGGTCACATTTTTTTTTTCCTTTTTGTCTTTTTTCGTGACCAGTAACGGGATCGCAACCCTCGGTGTCGTGCCCACACCGCGCTCAACCAGTGAGCGGATCGGTCTCTATATGGGATCTGAACCCTTGGCGGGAGCACCGCCTCGCTCCCAAGTGCCGCACTCTACCAAGTGCGCCACCGGCCGGCCCGAGAGGTCACATTTTAGGAACAGGAAGTGCACTGGAGAGGGTGAATGGAAATGATGGGAAATGGTGAATTCAGTGGGTAACGAGCATGTGCTCTAGGCCCAGCGTCCCTGAACATTCTTGGACTTGCTATAAGAATAGAAAGAGAGCCTTTCCATCTTTTGATCTCCTTGGTCAGCATGGGTTTGGGGGAGTGGAAGGAGGAAGGCAAGGGAAAGAGTTACACAGAACATGCCCCCCTGTCCCAGAGCCTTTCCCACAGCTGGCTCCTGAAGGCTGCCGGTGCTCCAGCTCTGTAGGCCTTCTTTCTTCCCCTGTCTAAGCAAAGCTCCTTCCTAGCTCAAGTCTTCTGAGGCTGTCCCCTCAGCCTGGGAGACTATTTCACTTCTTCTTCACCCTACAGCTCCTACACCCTTGGCCTAAAATGCCACTTGCTCAGAGATTCCTTTCCTAACTCCCACCTAGGTCAGCCTTCCTACCCTTTCTGTAGTTCTGTCTGTGGTGCCACAACAGTCGTAATTTAAATATTTGTTGTGTAATTTAGTTTTTAACTTTTTTGGCAGCTGGCCAGTATGGTGATCTGAACCCATGACCTCGGCTGTGCTCTAACCAACTGAGCTAACGGGCCAGCCCCAACTGTGTAATCTAAAAACTGTTTTCTTCACTAGATCACAAGTGCTATTGACATGGAGGCCATGTCTTGTCTTTTTCACTCTGATGTAATCCCAATGCCTCAAAAAGTGACTGGCACATGGCAGGTACGTAAAAAAATTTATGAATTAATGAAGGCATGCATGTATGCTACTCCTAGCCAGTCTCTCAACTGGTAAAAACCAAAAATTCTAAGAATATCTATTGAAACAATGCCAGACAACCAGGGCTGGCTTCACGGGTGTGTGACCTGTGCAGTCACACAAGGCCCCATGCTCTAGAGGGCCCCACGCTTGCTTGGTTTAATGATCTGCTGTTTCCAACTTAACATTATTAATACTTTTATCTTTGAACTTCTGTTTTGCAAATGAAGTCTAACGGGACATGGGAGCATGAACACAAGCAGAGGAGATACATGAAATTTGTGTCGACCATCTTTGCCAGTTCATCCGCATGCGTCCTTTCCCGTGAGTACAGAATTCTAGTGGAGGAGTTCAACAAGATTCGAGGCATGTACCAGGCAGGCACGTCTGTTACATTTACGACTGAGCAAATGCAGGCACTGACATTCCAGAGAGACCATACTTTCTATTCGAACCAGAACTCGCTTCAAACCCAAAAAGAAGGCAATGGCTTTCTAAAAAACATGGATGACCAAGGAACCCTCTCACATCTTTTCTTACTCATTTCCTTCCGTTTTAGC